TTTTCTGACATGAAGTTAGAGATTAAAGCAATGATAAATACTTGGAGTGGAAAGAAACATCTGTGATGGTTGTCTGGATTGCCTCCTCCTTTCGATGGGCTGCCTCTCACACAGCAGCTCCTCTTCATGCTCTGCTCCCAAACATCTTCTATGACTACCAAGCTGACCTGGCAGTCATTGTGCCTAAGAGTGACCACAGGATTTTAACATCATAAAGTGACTAAAAATACTCTGGCACCATCTTCAGATTTCAACCAAGAGCAAGGGCAATCTATTCCATAGTGGGATTCCATAAGGCTAATGGAGAAGAACAAAGTTGTATCCGATTCTAACAGAGGGTCCATCCTAGTTAGTGAACCATTACTCCTAATTTCATAATAGGAGGTGAAGTGTGCTTGGTGGCAAAGCTTGGTCTGAGTCAGGCAGCCTGGTGATGAATCGAGCCCCCTCCTACCTGCCTGTGAAAAGTCAGACAAGTCACTCAGCTCCCCTAAGTCTCAGTTTCCTCTCTTATCAAATAGGATCATACCAGTGCTTCCCTGTTAGAAGTCTGTGCAGATGAAAAGTAATGTCAACCCACCAATGGTGCTGAGTGCAGTGCCTGACACTTAGAAAGCTTCCCCAAAGTGCCTTTACTATTAGTGTCAGCATTCCTGTTACTAATCTCACTGTCATTGTCAACATCAACTTTATAACGACTTAGCAAGCGGAATTCTCTCAGTGGAATCTACATTTCACACTGCAGATGACCCAATGGTTCCTTGACATGTAGGGTTGCAACTGGCCTGTAAGATTATGGAGAACTAATGCTTTAATCAAGTTCTGTGAGGACTACTTTGATTTCTTCTATGGGTGCTTACTTTCCCATACTTTGAAATCTTTGCTAAATAAAAGCTGTGATAACTAGTTTTTGGTGATTCATGCCTTCTCCACTAGACAGAACAATCTGGTTGATCCTTCCTCCTGCCACTACCTCAGACACCATGTCATAGTTCAGTGAGACCAGGAAGAAAAAATAATTTTAAAAGTGCAAACATATACTTGAGATTGTGCCATTTAAAGGTACTTCATTCTTCCCAGCACAAGAAGGATCAGTTGCTCTCTCATTTGCATCCAGAGCTAAGAGCATTTTGGTTCACGACCTCAAGAGTTCTTCGAGTGCCATCTAAAACTGACTCCCATATGTGGAGGGCAAGGAGAGACTGAAGAAAGATGCAGATCACTCTAGTTGGGGAGGTGGCAGATTTAATAAGCAAGGGAACTTATATATGAGGCTTCTCTTAGGTGGGGCCAGATGAGTAGATCTCTGAACCCATCCATCAGAATCTTACAAGTTTATATAGAGGCTTTAATGGCATTCAGTAATGAGTACAGTCCAGATGGTCTCAACAACACATTATTCTCTCCAGGCTGCATCCTTGAAATGGCTCTTAGTTTGAGAACAGTGGGTGGAGTGTATATTCCAAGGACAGGGGAGTGGGTAAGGAGGCTCCAACTGCCTGGCTTCAGCTGGAGGGTCAACCAGTGGTCACATCCTCTCAATGACCTGTTCCAACAGAGAAGCTTCTTGAATCTTGGGTAACTCTTCCAATTTGGGCCATTTTTCAATCCATGGGAAACCTATCTCTCTCCATACCTAAAAATAACTCCCTGTGCTTCTTAAGGGGAGCTCTTTCTTTGGCTTAGAAGACCACCTTGTAGGATATTCTTCAGTTCTCATGGCTTCCCTCAGTGCAGGTGGATGCACCAACACTCTAAGTGTATCCTGGCCCTCATGTTTGCCATGATGGAGATAAACAGGAACCATGAGCTCTTACTAAACACAACCTTCAGACATCATGACTATTGTGCCAATCACGGTGAATAAAGGACCTTTGAGAGCACCATGATGTGACCTCAAGACGGAGCCAGGCTGTCCCTAATGTTACCTGTGAGAAGCAGAACAATTTATCGATTCATCAGTGCAGGAAGCACATCCCCATTTTCTGCCCAGATGAGGCCGCTACTGGAACTGTACAATTCCCACAGGTGCAATGAAAGTAGGGTGGGGAAGGGCAGCGATGAAACGTAGTTTCCTCAGCACCATGTTTCTGACAGTGTGTGAGAGTGGAGCCAGACTCATGCATCTTCCCTGGTGAATGCACATTCTTAGAATGGTGTGTCCTTTATTTGAGTTGGAGACGAGGAGTTAGAAAATAAAAAACACAGGCATTCCTGACTTAGGAAATCAGAGTGGTGTCTAGGAAAACTGCTTCTAGACTATGATTTTCCTGATAGTTGTTAAAGGGAAGATGAAAAACAGAGAATGAAATGGAAATATCTTCTCCATCTCTCAGTGCTTGATGCTGAATACCCACAGAACTTTTCTTCCTACGTTGGATGGTGACTGATGGATGATGCTGCTGCCCAGCAGTGTTCCCCTTCTTTGATGAGCACTGGTTGCAAACAGGGTCCTTCTTTCCTGTTTTCATTGAGATCACTTCTGGTTCTGTCCCTCAGTTTCCACCTGTCCGATGGCCCCCAGGGATGCTTCTGTCCCTGGGTCTGGTGGAATTATTGCTGAAGTTCAGGTGGACTCGACAGGGCTGTTTGACGCAGATGATATCAAAGGCGAGCATTTGCTAAGGGAATTGGAAGAGGAAATGGTCAGAAAACGTATCTGTTCATACTGTATGGAGAGGATGCCTGTCACGGAGTGATTCCAACATTGTCAGAATGAACGTTACTCTCTAGTATCATAGCCTCACCAATCAGTGAGATGATTATTCAGATGTAAGCAATTTTCTTTTTTTTTAAAGATTTTATTTTATTTTTTCCCTTTTTCTCCCCAAATCCCCCCAATACATAGTTGTATATACTTCGTTGTGGGTCCTTCTAGTTGTGACATGTGGGACACTGCCTCAGCGTGCTTTGATGAGCAGTGCCATGTTCATGCCCAGGATTCGAACCAACGAAACACTGGGCTGCCTGTAAGCAATTTTCTGATGTCTCATTATAGATGGAGTAAATAGTGTAACCACAAGTAAGGGGTGGACCATGACAACAAAGAGTGACTTAACTGCCATGAGAAAGAGCTCTTGCTTATATTTTCCACAGGATACAAATATTTTTATGTCAGAAACATTTTCTGAATTTAACCGTTCTGAATACCCAGAAGTCATTTTCTTCTGAATTGATGGCTTGTTTTTGCTCCCAATGCTCTTACTCTGAATTTGACTGAAGTGTTGGAAGATGCCCACCTAATGCACCCCTGGTGTTGTAACTGAACTCACTGGGTTCTCCTCTTGGTGATTGTGGAGCCAAAAAGAACCACCAAGGCAGAAGTAGGTGATAAGAGGTTCATTACTTGGACAAATAATGGAGAACATGGCGCATCTCTCCCAAAGCAGCGTCTCCCCAAACAACAGTTTGGGGGTCCTTTTATTGTGAGAGCATAGTACAGTTCATGAATATTCAGTTAAGGGAAAAGCAGGAGATCAGGGTTTATTTCCTAACAGTCATGTCCCTTTGAGGCTCATGGGTAGATGTGCACATGCTACTACATACATCGCATGACCTAGAAACAGCTGCTTGGTCTCTCCCAGAGGAGGGGAATTTAAATTGTTAATGAGATTATAATGGAGACGGTTCACTTCGGGTCACTTAGAGCAGTTTGAGGCGGCTAGAACTGCCTTCAGCCAAGCTTGCTTGTGGGAACCTTCTGTGTGACAAATAAAAATGGCAAGTAATAGGATATATTGGAGTATATGAGGAAGCCATTTTGTGTAAACCTAATTCGGCCTGACCTTGTCTTTCCAAAAGGGCCTGACTGAGGCCGTTGAGCATGCATTGTATATCTGCTTTAGAGATTCCCTATGGCAAGAGCAAAGGCCCTTGAGATAAAGGTGCAACTTCCCTCCCCCTCCCAACGTTGGCATCTCCTTAAAGATTAAGCATCTTTCTTTAGGCTGGGAACCGATTGCAGTGCTCATCTGTGACTGCCCAGCCCGAGGCAACACACCTGCCACCCCGCGGCATTCACTGAGACAGCAGACCTATCTGCCGTTTCCATCAAGAGCTGTGCTGACAGAGCAGCCTCGTGACTATTGGAAAACGGACACTTCAATCATATGTGAAACATACTCTTTGAGGGTATATAACCACCCTGTATACCCCCACTTCTTTGGAGTGCTCTATTCCTTTGTGGAAAGACTCTCCTGGGTTATAATCCTCAGATTTAAGCTCAGAATAAACTCACCCTTGGGGCCGGCCCGGTGGCACAGCAGTGAAGTTCACACGTTCTGCTTCTCTGCGGCCCGGGGTTCGCTGGTTCTGATCCTGGGTGCAGACATGCCACCGCTTGGCAAAAGCCATGCTGTGGTAGGCATCACACATATAAAGTAGAGGAAGATGGGCATGGATGTTAGCTCACGGCCAGTCTTAAAGTAGAGGAAGATGGGCATGGATGTTAGCTCAGGGCCAGTCTTCCTCATCAAAAAAAAAGAGGAGGGTTGGCAGTAGTTAGCTCAGGGCTAATCTTCCTCAAAAAAAAAGAAAAGAAGAAGAAGAAACTCACCCAAATTTTCATTTATAGATTGGTTATGGATTATTTTTGTCGACATGTAGTTAGGTTCTTCCAAAGACTTTCCATCTGCAAAACACTCAACAGATAACGTTAGTCTTTATCAGATCCTCAGTACGATTTTCTTGGCCTAGTTCCCTGGTCACCGTATCTGTCTGTGTACCTATTTGGCAAAACTATGTCAGACTCCAGTTGTCAACAAAGATCAAAATGGAGAGAGACTAATTATTGTGTACGGTGAGGTGATCTTCAGTTTTGTGTGTATAAAGAAGCATCGCAGTTCCAGGAGTCCCCTCCCAACACCACCTTTCAAGGCAAATATCCGTGCAGAGGAAGAGTTCTGACCGGCATTCTGCTCAGACACCTAAACTCAGGAGCTGTCAGTCAGAGGCAAGGGGGCGAGTCTTTCGAACTGTCCAATCAGAGGCGTCGCCGGGGCAGGTGGGTGGGGCGAAGCTCTCCAACCACCCGGAAGTTGCTGCTGCTCCAGCCGCGCTGGGGACACGGTCCCCCAGCCGTTAAGGGCTTTACGTGGCTCTGCTGCCTGTTCTGCCCAATTGTGACCTATACCGACCTGGGAGTCATATGAGGGATGCCAAGGGGTCCAGGAAACCTAGAATTAGTGAGATTTTCGGTCCGCAGTCAGGATTGTGAGGAAGAGTGTCTGGCCCAACATGGACTTCCCTTCCCGCTCCTGCCGTTAACGGTCCCTGGTGGCTCTGCCGCAGCCTCTGTCGCGCTGTGACCTGCACTGGCCGTGGGGGTCCTAGGAAGGACTCGGGGGACCCAGGAGCCCTAGAAATGGTGAGTGTGCGGCCCCGGGGTGAGGACGCGGGAGGCGGGGCTGGTGGGAAGCGGCGGAGCGGGCCCGGCCTCCTGCGGTCCCCTCCGAGGTCTGCGGCCCCGAGTCCGCGGTGGCGCCGCTCGGCCCTCAGGCCCCTCCGGCCGCAGCGTGGGGGCGGGGAGGGCAGCCGGGCCCCGGGCGTCCTGTGGTCCCTGCGCGCGGCGACTTGGACCGGAGCGTCTCTGGGCCGCTGTGCGGCCGCAGCCCCGCGTGTCCCAGACGGTGCGGGGCCCGCGGGAGGGCCCGCAGGACAGTCGGGCCTGGGTCTCCGGGGTCCGTGCGCGGAGGGGCTGCGGTCTGTGAGTCCCCAAGGCCTCCTTTCTCCTTGGAGGGCACTTCTTTTCTTGTCAATTTTCCATATATTTGGGAAGCAGAGTCTCAAACCATGACCCTGTCCCCCAGTCTAGATCTTTCTGGGGCTGGCAACAAATGCCTGAATTCCCAGTCTCTCCCAGCATTCCCAAACGCCAAGTTCCTGACTCCGATTCACAGCATTATTATCAACTATTTGTGCTACTGGTGGATTTGAAACAGACCCAATGTTTTCGTTATCATTTCCTCGCAGTCAATGGATGGCTGTTTTTAAAAAGATTTATTTTGTGTGTGTGGATGTTTTCCATGAGTGAAAAGTAGCCTATAACTGTGTGAAACTACATTGTATGAAATCCTTGTGCCTCCCCCACCAGGATCTTTCTGGGCACAGACATCTTTTGGGAAGTCCTTTGGGTGGAAGTTCCTCTTGAGAAACTTTTTGGATCATCTGTCCTGTCCATGCTGTCCTTACCTAAGTTAGTCACCTTTAAAAGATTTATTCTCTTTATTTTAGTCTCCGTTTTTCAAATGAATAAAAATTTATTTAATCAATATGACCTGAAACAATATAAAATATTTCTGAAGAGGCAAGAAACAGGTTAGTTTCAGAAAAAATGAAAGATTCCAGTTTTACGTTGCATTCGCTAATTTCTTCTTTCCCTTTTTTCCTGCCGTGGTAGGTAGTAATATTGTGAGGTCTGTTCTTTTATTTTGGGTGAGTTCAAGTAGATTTCCAGGGCTTAGACTTGCAGACCTGAAGTGTTCGTGTATGAACACTTGTCATGAAAATAATACTACCTTAGCATCTTTTTTTCCCCTAGAATGCAATACATTATTGTAGGGTTTCTTGTTGAGCCAGCAAAATGCCATAGTTTTCTTCCCTCATTTCCGCATAACGAGTGGTTTGAGTGTTTAAGCTGGATGGTTCAAACACTGGGTTTGTGTATTTAAAATATCAATGATGGTCCAGAAAACTCCAGTGGGAGCAGAGGACTGAGGGCCATGAATCTAAGCTAAGGCCCCCTTGAGCCTGCAGAGGGAAGGACTTGAAGGCCCAGCTGTCCTTCCTGGGGAGCTTCCCCCTGCAGGTGTCCTACTGCTCACACCCTCATGGAAGGAGCCTTTATCCTGAGAGGAGCTGCAGAGCCCTGGAAAGCTGGGGGTGCACGTGCTCATGGGGTGGGGAGTAACGCCCTTTCTGAGATTATAACTGTGGTTTCCCTGGGCCTCCTTCTAGAAATAAGTTGGAGTTTTGCATCCACAGTGTAGGTGCACTCAGAATGCAATTTGTTTACATTGAGAAAGTCTGTGAAAGTCAGTTCTGTGTCCTGGATTAGAGTCCATTAATTTGGGAAATCATCTTGATACTGGCTCAACACAAGGTTGGCATGAGGGAAGCCATATTGTAGAAAACAAACCATATTGTAACTTTGAATGACCTCTCATTTACTAACCCGGACATGCTCTGTAGATTTTATGGCCCCTCCCAGCTGCTATAATTTGATAACTTTATTCTTTTGAGTTACTTAGAAATGGGATGACCCCTAGGCAGAGAGTCTACGCTGATCAATGACAACTGAAAGACATATATAGGGTATATAGGGCATTGCTCCGGTCTCTGCTGCATATCCAGGAGAACAAAAAACTGTCAGGAACTGAGACCCGATGTCTGCCTCCACCCAGAGATGAGGTGCCTCCCCCACCAAGAGACCAGCCCCCTATATAACTGGCCTGTAGTCTTTGTTCTGTGAGATGGTTCTTTGGGACGTTAGTTGGCCATCTTCCTCCTTGCTAGCAAGCTGTAATAAAAGGTCCTTTCTCTCCTACCACATTTCCTCTTGACTGTTGGCATGTTTTGTGGTGGGCAGACAGCTCCCCCTCCTTGAGCAATAACAATTTGGGTCAGAATCTTAAACTGAATCCAGCTGAGTTTCCTCATTGTGGGAATGGAAGCCTGAGAGAGGGAGCATGTGCGTTAGTGCCTTATTTGCATGTAGTTTACTACTATACATAATTAGTTTATATGATATATAAGTGGGATATATTATATAACTAGTGTGTAATTAGTTTTGTAGTGTATAGTATAGTGCTATACTTTCACAGAATAGTATCAACACTTTTAGCAGTCTGTAGCATACTGGGTATCATTACTGTGTCTTGACGTCTTGATACCTCATTGTCTCGATGCTCCAGAGCCTGCCTCCCCACCCCGGTGTTTGTTTTCTCTGCTTCTGAGTGCAGCTGAGGTGTCAGTAGGGTTTTTGGAAATTGTAACTAATTTAACAGCCTGAGAGTTGAAGTGAGGCTCTGTGGTTTGATTTTTAGTACATGCAGAAACTTGTGTGACATTCTTTTGTATTTAGTACGTACAGAGACGCGTGACATTCTTATGTATTTGAGTAGTTATGAGCAAGATTCCCCCAGAGTGCTTTCTCCCAAAAGGGTAACCCTGGATAAACAGTTGATGTGCTTGTTGCCAGGCAGCTAGATCATTGGCATTAAGGTAAAAGTCTAAAAATGTGAAGAGGTGGACTGTTGGCCAGGGCGTCCTCTAGCATGACTGCCTGGAGTTTGACTGATCCTGCTGACCGCTGGGCCCCATCTTTGATCTGGGACGGCCTGGTTAGGGACAGCAGCAGCAGCTCTGCAGTGTTCTCCATCACGTGCTGGTGGCACACCACATTGATATGAAAATAGGTGCAGGATTTATGTTTACAAGAGAGCAAAGCACATTTCACAGTGTAAACCACGTGACCTTTGCATATCAAAGGGAAGAAAAAAATACATACTTGAAGTTCCTTCTTTTTCTGTAAATGCTAAAAAGACTTAGAAGAAATGAATGACGTTGTTATCTACATGAGCATGGGGACAATGCTAAAGGTCATGCTAGGGCCAGGCTTCAGGCTCACTTGAATCTCAGGCTGAGCTTTTGAAACTTAATATTCACAGTAAAGAATTCGTGATAAACAAACAAAAAAATGTAGGAACCACATTTTATTTTTAATAGTGTTGAATGACAAAAATTCAACCGAGTAAAATTAAAGATCTAATTGGCTTTACGAAGCAATTCCTCAATTGGGCAGCATCCCATCTAGCAAGTAGAGAGGAGCGCCAAAGGGCTGCAGAAAGGGAAAGGTTTTAAAGGGAGGACACGGAAGTCATAAACAGAAAAAAGGATTATTTTAGGCAAGGTTAGCTCCCTTTGGGGACACAAGGAACTTCTTAGGTGGGTGACCTCATCTTCCTTTGGGGGATGGAGAGCCCCGTGTGGCAGATTGCCTCATTGGTGCTGACCAGAAACTCATAGACTGATGGGTTAGACTGCAGTCCTGGGGAAGGGTGAAGCTGCAGGTAGGGTAGGTATTAAGCTCTGGTTTGGTGACATGAGTTTAGCAAAAGTGACTTCATCTTGGGCCTGTGGTTTCGTTTTTTACAATTTTCCCCTTTGTGATCAGGCTCTCAGCTTAACTGGGACTTCTGATCAACGTTTAAGGCATTAGCACCACTCAGCTACCACTGTGAAATTATGTTTCTGTTGTTCCTTTGGATGGCATCCAGAGGTCATGATGGTTTTGCTTAACAGCTGTGACATTCACAGGTCAAAGCTTTAGGTTTACAGTCTTTAAGTTGGCCATCTTTTCATTCTTTTTTCTTTCTTTTTTTTTTTTTTGAGGAAGATTAGCCCTGAGCTAACATCTGCTGCCAATCCTCCTCTTTTTGCAGAGGAAGACTGGCCCTGAGCTGACACCCATGCCCAGCTTCCTCTACTTTATACGTGGGATGCCTGCCACAGCATGGCTTGCCAAGCAGTGCCGCATCTGTACCTGGGATCCAAACTGGCAAACCCTGGGCCACTGAAGCAGAACGTGGGCACTTAACCGCAGTGCCACTGGGCTGGCCCCGACACAAGACCTTTTTTTTTCTCTAGACAGAATACTTAAAAAGGAAAAGAAATAAACCTTTTGTAATCTCTGATTATCAAGAACAGACCAAGAAAACATTATCCTTTTAACAGACAGAAAAAAATACTCATTTTGCAGCAGCTTACTTTTATCTTAAAACTCATTTACTTAGTTAAACTTATTCCAATATTAGTCAGCCCTGACCACACATAAAATTCCTTTTCTTTGTTATTTTTAGTCATTTTAATTATATAAGTTAGAAATTTTAACCCTTAAAATTTTAACTTCTAGTGAAAACTAAGAAGCAAGCAATTATGAACTTTTATATTAACATTCTGTAGATTGAAGACTTATAAGTACTTTTTATAATATCTAGAAACATGTATTTCCTCAGAGTAAATTTTTCAGCATCGCACAAGTCATGTTTAGTAATAGATGCAAAAGTCTTTAATTCCTCCATAGAAGGAAGCAAAAAGTGATAAACCCATTTCCAGTAATTAATGTTTTAGTATTTTGTCCTTATTTGGAAATGGTTTGGTTATTCAATGAATTTGATTCATCATTTAAGTTAATTCAGCAAAACTTTAAAGTTACGGGTTACCAAAAGCGTCAGGAACACTATTTAAAGTACAGTTGGAACATTTTATCTTACTTACATCTGTTTAATTTGCTTGTTCTTAACAACAATGTATAGATCACCCACAAAAACTTCATTGGACATTAGACAAAGTTAGCCTTCATCCCAA